GAAATTCCATTTGACCCAGCAATCCCATTACTGGGTATATATCCAAAGGATTATAAATCGTTCTACTATAAGGACACATACACATGAATGTTCACTGCAGCACTGTTTACAATAGCAAAGACCCGGAACCAACCCAAATGCCCATCGATGATAGAATGGACAGGGAAAATGTGGCACATATACACCATGGAATATTATGCAGCCATCAAAAATGATAAGTTCATGTCCTTTGTAGGGACATGGATGAACCTGGAAGCATCATTCTCAGCAAACTAACACAAGAACAGAAAATCAAACACCGCATGTTCTCACTCATAGGCGGGTGTTGAACAATGAGAACACATGGACGCAGGGAGGGGAGCATCACACACTGGGGTCTGTTGGGGGGAAATAGGGGAGGGACAGCAGGGGGTGGAGAGCTGGGGAAAGATAGCATGGGGAGAAATGCCAGATATAGGTGATAGGGAGGAAGGCAGTAAATCACCTTGCCATGTGTGTACCTATGCAACAATCTTGCATGTTCTTCACATGTACCCCAAAACCTAAAATGCAATAAAAAAAAAAAGGAATAAACATGAAGTGAAGGCATGAAAATAAAAAAATTAAAATAAAATAAAAATGTAAGTTGTTAGCCAATTGGGTTTAACTTAGACTGTGAGGTCCAGCTCCAACCAATGGAGATAAGACACAGCAGTAAGGACCCAATGCAGTAAGGAATTAAAATTCCTGCCTTTCCTTTGTTCATTGTGCTCTTGTAGCAGGATTGCTGATGGGTAGCACCCTTTCTGCATAAAATAAAATTGCCTTGCTGAGAGATCCTTTGTCTCAGTGCTGATTTTTCTTTGCGCCACCAAGCATCTGTTTCCAACATTCACAATACTTCTTATAAGTTAGATTTACAGCAGTCTAAGGCCACAAAACATTACCTTTTCCATCTGCATTTCACAATTTCATTAATAACTAAAAAAGAGAGTTCAAGATAACATGCCATTGGATCAATCATAAAACCTTTGTTAGAAACTTCTTAATATCTGGCTGGATGTGGTGGCTCACACCTGTAATCCCAGCACTTTGGGAGGGTGAGGTGGGTGGATCACCTGAGGTCAATAGTTCGAGACCAGACTGGCCAACATGGTGAAACCCTGTCTCTACTAAAATTACAAAAACACCTGGTGTGGTGGTGTGCACTTGCTGTCCCAGCTACTCAGGAGCCTGATGCAGGAGAATCGCTTGAACCCAGGAGGCAGAAGTTGTAGCACTGGGCCGACATCATGCCGCTGCACTCCAGCTTGGGAAACAGAGCAAGACTCTGTCTCAAAAAAAAAAAAAAAAGAAAAAGAAAAGAAATTCCTTACTACCTCAGCTCCCCCAAAAAGGTGCATAAAATATGGCCTGAATATATATTTGCAGACAGAATGGTCTATGGATTACATTAGATACTCAAAGGGACACATGGCCCAATAAGTTTAATAGTCACTGATCCTCAACGTAAAAAATTATTCACACTTAAAAGAAATCAGTAGTCTCTAACACCTAATACATTGCCCTCAATCAAGTCAAAGACCATACAATTCATTCCTTCAACAAACACATACATAAATGTGCTTTGTGAAGTGTAAACTAAAGCTCAGATAACTGGCTATTTGCTAGTTCCCTATTATCAGCCCCAAAATCCAATGATCCCCCAATGCCTGCTGAATAAATCTCATGCATGAGCTTGTGTTCCAGGCAGAGCAACCAGAACCAGAGACAAGGAAGAACAGACAATTGGGCCCTATATTTAGGGGAGACATCTCTCAGCTTGCCTGGAGCCTTTCAGTTTCGAAATTGTCCCAGTTTGTACAATACATGATATTGTCCCCCTATTAATAAACCACATTGAAGAACTGATTCGTTATCCTGAGGGTAACGGGATAAAGTGTTTTAAACAGACGAGGGGTAACAACATCAGATTTAAATTTTAGAAAGATCACTGAGGCTGCAATGAAAGTGATGGATTGGAGAAAAGCAATTCAAGAGGCGGCGACCAGCTGGGAAACCGTGGCCATCACTTAGCTACAGAAAACAGGGTGTCCTGGATTGGAGCGGTACCAGCAAAGGAGAGTAGGCCTATCGTCTTAGTGACAGATGAATACAATCAGTGTTGGGGTGCGTGGGGAGGCTTAAAAATGACTCCCAGGAGTCCGGCTTGGGCAACTGGTGGGTTGCTGGCGCTCTTCACTTAAATGGAAGACCTACGAGAAGGTTTGACGGGAGTTTTAAGTGAGTCCAGCAGTCTACAGTGGAGACGTTTGGGGCCTTTCATTCAAGAAATCACGCTTGCCAGGCGCTGTGTTAAGTCCTGGGAATGCATGGTCCCTGTCTGTTCTCATGAGATTATCGGGGGTGGGAGAAAGATGTGTAGATCAAGCATGCCAGTTAATACAACAAAGAGGTAGATAAGCAGACACTGAAAATTTTTACATAAAATGAAGAATCGTAATTAAAGAAAATGAAAACTAAAAGGAAAAAAATTTAATACAGCAAAGAAGTAGAGGAAGTTTGGGGCGCATATTACAGGGAGGCCTGGCCTCGTGTTGGTCTGGGACCACTTCCCTGAGGAAACGCCATCCAAGATGAGCCCCTTGCGACCACCCCCGACCTAATCAACCGGACGGCGCCCTCGGCGCCCCTCTGCCCGCCCCCTCCCCTTACTGGGCCGCACCGCTGCAGACCTGCTTGCCGTCCCGCCGGTGCTTCACAAGTGTCACCTCTCCGTAGCTTCCCTTGCCCACGACCCGCAGGTAGCAGTAGGAAGCCAGAGGCATGTTCCCAGCGGGGGCCCAGAGTCGGGATGCAGGAGCAACGGCGGGTAGGGCAGCGGGAGGCAGCAGAAGGCTCGGTTCATGCCCGAGAGGCGGCAGGAGGGGCAGCTGTTGAGGCAGCCGCGCCTGGGCAGGAGCGCGGTGGCGGGGCCCACGAAGACGCCGCTACCATAGCGATAGCGGCCGGTAGCAGTCCTGCGCATGCTCCTGCGTCCCTGAAGGCCAGCCATAGAGCGGACGCCAGGAGCGGCCAGAGCGGTTCCACCGCCCCGGGAGGACCCGCCATAGAGCCGAGGCTCCAGGAAGCCAGAGCGACTCCGCCAGGTCCCGCGCACTTTCTGTGCGTGTCTTCCGCTGTCCGGGTGCCCGCCGCAGCAGAGTCGGGGAAGCTTCCTCTTTTTGTGTATTCGTTTGTCCTAAGCCCGTTAAAGTATTTTTCGTTCATTCTACAAATATTTGTTGACCGCCTATGTGCCAGGGCTGACAAAGTCGCTGCCCTCCTCGAGTTAATGTTTTAGTCTTTGGGTGACAGACTCTTTTTTTTTTAAGAGACGGCGTTTCACTATGTTGGCCAGGATGGTCTCGAACTCCTGACCTCGTGATCCTCCCGCCTCGGCCTCCCAAGGTGCTGAGATTTCAGGCGTGAGCCACCGCTCCCGGTTGGGTGACAGACTCTCTACCAGTAACATTTGCTGTGTCTGCTTTATCACGTGTCGTCTCTGCATCCAGCAGTCCATCCTCTTTTTTGATACAAAGTAAATGGGAGATAGCAGTACCTTTCATACATAAAAACTTTCGCCTGCTAATTGAGAGCTACAGAGAACCCTCAGCATTTAACGACTGCCCGAACCACTGCACTAAGAGACTTGACTAAACTCTAGCATGGCTTCATGCTCGGCTAACAGCCTAAGACCTGATCTCTAGGAGACCTAGGCCCCTTTAAACTGCCTGCGAGAGAAAGCTCAGGGGTGCCAAAAGAATTCACCATTTGTTTCAGCCAATACCTCCCTTTCCTAGAGCGCTTACTTTTTTTTTTTTTTTTTTTTTTGAGGCAGGATCTTACCCTGTCACCCAGGTTGGAGTGCAGTGGTGCAATGGTGCTCACTGCTGTCTAGACCTCCTGAGCTCAAGCCATCCTCCCAACTACAGGCACACCCCTCCATGCCTGGCTAGGTCTATCTTATTTTTTCAGAGTCAGGTCTCACTATGTTGCCCAGACTGGTCTTAAACTCCTGGGCTCAAGCAATCCACCCACATTGGCCTCCCAAAATGCTGATATTTCAGGCGTGGCCATCGTGCCTGGCCTCCTTCCTTTTTATGGCCAAATAGTATTCCATTATATGTATATACTACAATTAGTTTATCCATTCATGCAGTCATGGACACATATAGCTTCCGCCTTTTGGCTATTATGAATAATTCTGCTATGAACATGGGAGTATAAATATCTGTTTGAGTTCCTGCTCTCTTTTTAATTCATTTGGGTATACACTCAGAAGTGAAATTGCTGGATCATATCGTAATTCCAGTTTAATGTATTGGGAAACCACCATACCATTTTTCACAGCAAGCTGAACCATTTGACATTCCCATTAGCAATCCACAAGAGTTCAAATTTCTCCTCATCCTTAATCTACATCTTGATAGGAGTTTTGGGTGTATGAATTTGTCTAAATTATCTAATGGTACATTTAATATTTGCACATTTTACTCAAAGAAAATTTCATCTTCACTAGAAAACAAAACAAAAAGGACCGTAAGTAAGGATTGAACTCGTTAATGATATTATTAAAGATAAACAAAGCCAAGCATTAAAGTGGTGAAAATCGATTTTATTCAGTAACTACTGACAGTAGGGGAAAGAGCTGAACTCCATTCGATTTGTGCAGTGGTGATTGGGTGTTCCAAAGGAAGAATAAGGAGTAGGAGGGGGAGTGAGCAAGGGCTCACTTAGAGTCTGGGAAATGAGAAGTTAAAAGGATTGGTTAGCATACATGTCATTAGGCCAACTTGTCTGCTAGCTGGCAGTCAGGGAAGTTAGGATTCTATCTTCCCACATAAACTGGGAGACATGAGCCCTACCTTTCTAATGATTACATTTCAGAGGAATGGATTTCAGGTCATTGAGAAAGACATTCCTAGGTTGTAGAAAATACATAGGTATATATCTCAGAGGGACCGAGGAAGGATTTATAATTGTAAAATTGTAAGCTTTTTTTTTTTTGAGATGGAGTTTCACTCTTGTTGCCTAGGCTAGAATACAATGGCATGATCTCAGCTCACTGCAACCTCTGCCTCCCCGGTTCAAGCAATTCTCCTGCCTCAGCCTCCCGAGTAGCTGGGATTACAGGCACACACCACCACGGCTAGCTAATTTTGTATTTTTAGTAAAGATGGGGGATTCCTCCCTGTTGGTCAGGCTGGTCTCTAACTCCTGATCTCAGGTGATCCTCCTGCTTCAGCCTCCCAAAGTGCTGGGATTACAGGCGTGAGCCACTGCCCCTGGCCAGTTGTAAGCTTTTTAAAGTACAAGCTACATCATGGATGACCCTTGAATATATTATGCTAAACAAAATAAGGCAGTCACAAGAGGACGAAAGTATGATTTCACTTATGTAAGGTACCTGTAGTAGTCAAAATCGTAGATTCAGAAAGTAGAATGATGGCTGCCAGTGGCTGGGGAGGGAGTTGGAGGTTGGCATTTAATGGGTGCAGAGTTTTAATTGGGGACAATGAAAAAGTCCTGGAGATGCATAGTGGTGATGGCTGCACAACATGAATGTACTTACGCCACTGAACTGTATTCTTAAAAATGGTTAACTAAAATGTTTTACATGCTGTGTACTATGCCACAAAAAACTGTGGCACACTGCTCTTGTAATCCCAGCTACTCAGGAGGCTGAGGCATGAGAATCGTGTGAACCCGGGAAGTGGAGATTGCATTGAGCCGAGATCGTGCCACTACACGCCAGCCTGGGCGACAGAGTGAGACTCCTTTTTAATAAATAAATAAATAAATAAATAAATCCTTCTACAGACATTTAGCAAGGGTCTACTAGCCTGGCCCTGGAGGACAACTGTGAGCAAGACAGACAAGGGCCTGCCCCTGTGGGGCTTACCGTCGAAGGGGGAGATGGCCATTAGTCAACAAAGCATAGTAACAAGTTACTCTTGCCAATGGAGGTCAGTACTGTGCAGAAAAGCCGCCAGGCCCAGCCTGGCCAACCAAGGGAGGTTGCCCCAGGAAAGCACCACATCAGTGGAAGTTTAAAGAAAAACTTTTTTAGGCAGAGGAGCAACATATGTTAAGACCCAACGGACTCATTTTGGGCCTTTACCTACACACCTCAGTGTAAACTCCCGAGGACTGGGCCAAGCCTGTCTGCTTCAACACCCTAAGCCAGCAGGTGTAAATGAAGGAACTGGGGGTTGCTGAATGAATGAGTGGAAAAGCACCTGCTTACCTGGATCTAGAAGTCTCTGCAGTTGAAGCTGAGAGACTCAGAGAGGCCATGGGCTAGGTGACATAGAGGGGTCAGCAGGGGTCATACCACTCAGGACAGGGTGTGTGAGACAGGGAAAGGCCTGCAGTAGACTATCCTTTCTAAATGGCGACTCTGGCTGCTGCCTGGAGCAGAGAAGGAGGGGATCAGCCATCTAAGTGAGGGGCGAGGGCGGCTTGAACTAGATGCTGACTGGGAATAGGGAGAGAGGTGAATGGATTGGAGGGATATGCAGAGGGTAGAAGATGGGGTAGGTGATCACGGAGAGTGAGGAACCCAGGATGCCACCCAGCCTTCTGGCTTAGATGGCTGGATGGATGGTGGTGGCCTTCACTGGAGTGGACAACGGGGAAGACCTGGCTTACTAGCGAAGTGTGGGGAGGAGAAGACAAAGGTCAGGAGTTCAGTTTGGACATACCAGATGGGCACTCAAGCAGACAGTTGGCTGTGTGCGGGTGGAGCTCAGAGCAGGTCTGGGTCCACGTGCTGTCCCGCCAGCACCAGCAGCACAGCTGCCCTCCCATTCTCCATCCTCAGCAACCATACCTGCTTTCTGTCCACCCTGACCCCTACCTCCCACATGCATAGGGTGGGCCAGTTTCTTCTCTTCCTCTGTACCATGAGGATAATATTAATAATATCTGTTTCTTGGGGGGAGTTGTGAGCAGTAAATAAATTCAGACACAAACGATGCTGAGAAGCATGATAGTCACCGGTCATAGTTAACTCTCCCCATCTCCTATCCACCCTCCCCCTGTGCAAACATGCTTCTAGCACCTCACATGGACCGGGCCTGCTGCTAGCCACCTCTCAACAGCCCAGCCTTGAACTCATCACACCCTTGCTCAAAAGATCTTTAGTATCTCACACCCAAAAGGCTAATCACTTTCAGACCCCTGTGCCAGCTGGTCCCAAACCCTTTCCCAGCCACCTTCACCCTTCATCAATTCCTGCTCCCATCACCCAGACACCTCCACCTTCCCCAAGCACACACCCCACTTGCCCATCTGCTTTTCTCTCCTCCCTTCACACTTTCCCCTTGCCAAGCACTGCTCTTCTTTCCAGGCACCTCCTCCAGGAAACTTCTCCTAATCCCTGAGGGAGATGAGCTCTGCCCCTCCAAATTTCTACCTCTCCAGCTTCTCACCACTCCTTGGGATTCAGTGGGCTCCCTTTGACTTGTCTGATTCCCTTTTCCCCTGACATCAGCTCATTGAACACAGCAGGCACCAAGTTTCTGCATGGCGGTGAGTCCCAATGCCTGGCATTGTGCCCAACAGCTCATTGAACACAGCAGGCACCAAGTTACTGCATGGTGGCGAGTCCCAATGCCTGGCATTATGCCCAACAGCTCATTGAACACAGCAGGCACCAAGTTTCTGCATGGTGGCGAGTCCCAATGCCTGGCGTTGTGCCCAACGCACTGCAGGGCTCAGTCAATACTGGCGCAGGAAATAAGCAGAACTTCAAATGTACAGTGTCATGTTGATCCCACACCTCTTCCACAAAGGCCAGAAAACAGGCCAGAAGGTGACCCTGGCCTAAGGACAATAAACCCTTCCCAGAAGCGACTCTGTGAGACAAAGTCCAAGACAAGCAAACAGAGATCAGCGAGGCTCCTGGCCCCCCTCTTTTCAGGGCCACAGCAGCCAGTACATCCCACCCGAGTCACAGACTGGACTGGCCAGGGCCTTGTCTGCCCTGTA